GGCAACCTTCAATAAACATGATGACCAGTAATTAGGTGTGAAGGAAGGAAATGAAGGTGGGGAGGGGGCTGGTTAGGGCTGTCACAGAAGGCTCTCAGAAGAGGTGACATCTTATTGGGCTTGCTTTTTTTATTGCATTTTTATCATATATACAGTTTGATGACTTTCTTTCCTCCTCAACCTTATGTTGTAAGCATTTTCCCATAGTAAATATTCTTTGAAAACATGATTTTTAAGAACTGTATAATTTTCCATCAGATGGACGTACTGAACTTTATCTAACCAGCCTGCTATTGTTGGGCATTGTTTAGGAAGCTTCCAGTTTTTTGTGTTACCCTCTTCCTACAACCCTCCTTAGTTCTTTAGGGCAGGGTCACAGAGGTAGACTCAGGAGGGAAAGCTCAAAGCACCCATGGCCTGGGCTTCTCCTGGGTCCTCTGGCTCCATTTTGGGTGCTCGTGTTGAGACTTCTTGCCCCCCCGAAGCCCCTCTCTTTCCAGACCTTCGTGTTCTCCCCTCTGAGGATCGCTGCCAGCAAGGCAGAGGGGCTTGAAGAAGTGCCTGTGGTTGGGCCCTGGGCAGTGGTGAGCTCTGGCAGGCGCAGGATCCACCCTTGGAGACTTCCTAGGTCTCCAGATAGGGAGCAGATTGGGCCAGCTGTCCTGAGGCCTCCTCCTGCCTTCACCGTCCAGCACGTGCCATCTGGTTATCCCCCAGCCTGGGTGGCAGTGTCCCGCCCAGGCACATCTGCGTGTGATGGTGACTCACTAGCTGAGAGTGACTCAGGATTCATCTTATCATACTTTACAGCGGAGATAAATCCTACCCTCTGCCCCTGGTCCATTAGACTACGGTGTGGGCAGGAGGCTGGTTCACCGCTTGTAGTTCAGAAGACGTGGTGTAGGTGAGTCCGGGAAGCCAGAGGCCTGCCAGAGCATTTCTACTTGTGCCATGAGAGTGGCATAGGGTTTCCATCCCTGGGACTCGGGGCAAGTTACCCAACAGCTCAGCTTCTGCTGAAATAGGGGTGATAGCAACACTTCATGGGGTTCAGTCATGTTCCCAGCATGTATCTGGTGAGAGCACCCCATTGCAGGTCCCTGGGTTGCGGAAGTAAACCAGAAAGCAGGGCCTTGCCTTATGGTGTCCAGTGACAGGGACAGACAGCAAGTATGGAAGGCAGTCAACAGGATGACCCCAGGATATGCTCAGGCCTCTGAGTGTCCCATAGGGAGGGAGCTCCCCATCAGAGTGCCTGGTCTCCCTCACCTCGTGACTTTGAGAGCGCCACTAAGCTGCTTCCTTCCCTCGGAGGTGCTCTGAGCCACAGCTCGAATGCCAGCACTGCAGAAGTCTGGGGGGGGGGGGC